TTTCCAATTTTCTTTTTTGAACTTAGCAGGTTTGTTTCTGATAACAAAAGGTATCTTTTCAGTTTTGACTGTAATATGACTTAATCTACAAAAAAATAGTGACATGTTATTTTTTTCTACTTTTACCAACGTTTTTGACTTCTTGGGCGCCACTGGAATAATAACGGCAAATCTAATTGAATCAAAAGATACCTTTTGTTATTATTACAAACAAATCTGCCAAGTTTAAAGAAATTCGGGAAACGGATTATAAAAAACCGATTTTTTCAAACTTTGACACCCTGTATCTCGAAAACTAAGCATTTGCGGACCTATGCTTCTATCAACTTTTTTCCTTATTTTAAGGCCGCGTTAATGGCCGCCATGTTTAAACTGTGATTGGTTGATTTTTCGAAACTTGTTTTAGGGTCTTTAAAAAAATGGCACATCAGAATTGGCTCAAATTTGGCATAAACATTATTTGATCGATTATTCCACTCACGTGTTAGAAAGCCCATAAGACAAGTGACGATTTTCAGAATAACAGCGAAAATTCTCTCTTCCATTTACTTAACTAGAGAGAATTACAGCGATAATTCTCCCATGTTATTGTATATATGGTTGTCATGCTAATTTTTGATACAAACAAACGGTTCCTGATAGCAACCATTTATTTGTATTGATTGTTAAGATGTTCAAATCGTTTGATAAAAAATTATTTCCATATTTTTTGCATTCTCATACGTGAAATAATCCTCTTAATACCACTTGAGCTTTAAAATGAACCAGATAATTTTTCACTCATGCGTGTCTTCTCTGCAAATTTCACTCGTCCTACGGACTCGTGAAATTATAGAAAACACGCAATTGTGAAAAATTATCGGTAATTTTGAAGCTCTCGTGGTATTATCCCCGATTATCTACAATTCCTTATTTTGGTTTTTCGATATTCAGCCTTTTTTTTTAATTCAAAAATCATGTTTGCAACCACCAAAACAATTGAATGTGTTGGTGGTTGCATATTTGCATGTTTATCAAGCTTGGATCCGTGAAAAGCATATTTTATTGATAACCACGAAAATCTAAAAAAAGCTAATTGTAGAGATTGTAGATAATATATCAAATAATGTTTATGCCAAAGGATTTTGGAATTTATTGCGGATTCTTTGAGATGAGCTTAAAACGAATTTTGAAGGTGAAAACAGTTCAAGCAATTTCAACTAGATGGCGCCACGGCAAAAAAGCTACATTGGGAGCATCATAATTGTATATTTGTCTTTCTCTGTCACTAAGTGTTTCACCGACAAACATATTTTCTTTTGGACAAATAATGAAATATTGAACCCTATGTGTAGAGTGACGCAGTCGTCATTTTCAAAATAGTATATTAAAGTATAAGTGGATATTAAATCGCGCGTGTTTTAAAGACCAGTTATCCACGAATACTTTACACTATTTTTTTTTATTGGTATACGTTCAAATCATAAATTACTAATAATTGTAGAATGCCAAATTCGTGCTTAACACTTGTTATATTTTATTTGACGTTATCTACAAGTACCTACTCCTGACAAATCAATAATTAAAAAGTTGACATTTAGACATTTCTCGGGTTGTTGATGTTGGGATGTTGTCATTGGTAACTTTAAAACACGCGCGTTTTTGAATGTTGGATTTAAACACGCTGAGGAGTAATTTAAATAAGTGAAATAGGTTATCAATAAAAAAAACTAAATTTAAACATGGCGGCAATTAACTCGGCCTTAATGAGTATTAATTATCCTAGAAGTTTGATCCCACTATTTATTAACACCCTGTATAACTATTGCCCAATTTTGTAACGATACATATTGTCAACGGAGAAGCTTTGGAATCGAATAAAGTTGGAGTCTTGAAGGCAAAGTGTCAAGGATATGATATAACAATTCAGGCACTTATCGCACCCAAATTGAAACATAATCTGATGGCAGCTTCTGAACTTACTTCAAATAGACATAAGGTGATAGTGGAGCTAGGAAAATTAACAATAATAAGCAAAAATGTTCCCTTAATTTGTGAGGCTGTATATTTTGAAGCTAGATAGCGTGAAAGAACAGTGTAATTTGACAGAGGTAGAAGATTTGTGGCGTAGGAGACTAGGGCATGCATGTAAGAATTCAATGCAGCAGTTAGGGCTAGAAAAATCTGATAAAATCTATTCAACATGTGTAGAAGCAAAAGCTACGAGAAGTCCTTTCAAGAGCAATGAGAGATCTACCGATGGAATAGGAGAGTTGAATCATAGTGATGTCTGTGGGCCAATAATAAATCCAAGTACCTACAATTCGAGGTGAAAGATATTTTCAGGCGATAGTGGATGATTTTTCTCATTTTTTAGTAATACAATTATTAAAAACCAAGGATGAAGCTGGACTAAACTTGGAAGAATACGCGAGGATGCTGGAAAGGCAATATGATGCAAAGGTAGAAAGATTTAGATTAGACAATGGTAGGAAGTTTATCTCGAGCAACTTCAAAAAATTTTGTAAGCAAAAGGAAATAAAGCTAGAATATACGATGGCTTATTCACCTCAAAGTTATGGTAAAGCTGAAAGATTAAACCGAACACTGTTAAACATGATATGAACAAAAATAATTGACTCCGGAATCCCCAAAGAGCTATTGGGTGAAGCACTAAAAAGTTCCGTTTATGAATTGAATCGTACCCTCACTGCACAGCTTTGCCCAGAATTAACACCAGCTAAAGTATTCCATGGTTGCAATGATTTGTCAAAGCTTAAGATTTTTGGATGTCGGGTGTGGTATACATTATCGCCAAAAGGCACTAAACTAGAACCGAAAGCAAAGAGTGGAATGATGGTTGGTTACTGTAAAGGAGGATATCGAATATAGCTGCTACCAGATGAAAGAAAAATAATAAAATCTAGAGATGTAAGATTTGATGGAGTATAAAGTAAAATTGCAAGAAAATAAGACCAAAGAGTGTCAAAATAAGGAAGGAAGATCAAAACTATTGTATTTACCAGAAAATAAAGACCAGACAGAGATGAAAAATATTGAAAAAAATATGGAAGAAAATGAGACAGACGAAAAATATCCAATCAATGTTGAAAGCTCAAGTAATTCGAGTGACGAATTTGAAGATACTATACCGATGACAGAGACACAAACTAGATTAGGGAGAAATTTTTTTGAAGTTTGTTAGATTACGAAATATATGCTACTTATTGTTTGCTGACATCTACCAGTGAAGAACCAGCAACATATGAAGAAGCCAGTCAGTAAAATTTCAGAATGGAAACAAGCTATAAATAAAGAATTAAATTCTCACGAGCACTTACAAACTTGGAAACCAGTACAAAAACTACCAGAAGGACAAAAGGCAATAGATACAAAGTGGATTTTCAAGGTTAAGGAAGATGGAACGAAAAAGGCAAGATTGGTGGCTAGAGGGTTTCAAATACCTAGAAGTGGCGACAAGTTTAGCTATGCACCAGTTTGTAGTAACTGGAGAAGAGATTGGAATAAACAAGTTAGAAACTACCATGAATTTCAAGTTAAGAATATTGAAAATGTAACATCATTTTTGGGCATGGGATTAGAAAATACAAAATAAGGTACAAAAATCAATCAATCTAAGATGATTTCCCGATTGTTAAGCGAGTTTGACATGCAAGAATGTCGTCCAGTGTCTACGCCTATGGAAGTGAATTTTCAGATCGATGAAAAAGAACCAATTGAAGAAAATGTGTCATATCGAAGGCCTGTGTGTAGTCTGATGTATATGTCCATTGTAAATGACCTGTCATAACCTACAGTGTATCATACTTGAGTAGGTATCTTGATAAGCCTACTTCACAAGCTGGGAAGAGGATTCTTCGATAATTGAGCTAAACAAGAGACTTTGGTTTACATTACAAGAAAGGCAAGAATGAAATTGTGGAATTGTGTGATGCGGATTGGGCTGGTGATCGACATACCAGAAGAAGTGTTAGTGGGTTTATTTGTTATCATCCTGGTAACCCAATAGCTTGGCACTCTCAACAGCAGAATAGTTTGGCGTTGTCATCAATGGAAGCGGAGAGCGGTGGAAAAGCACATTCTCAGCCTTCGGTGTTTGCCGGCCTCGGCTACGCCTCGCCCGTCACTTACACCGTCAGCCGAGAATGTGTCACTTTTCCACCTAAATACACAATATACTATTTGTCAATTTGAACGTATGTATTGGAAAAATGTTTATTTTTGATTACCTATTTAATCAGTTCTTATTTTGTTGATACATTTAAATTGAGAGGGCCTGTTGAACATACTGATTTTCTGATTTAGGTTATATAAACACATGTCATTATTATTGACAATTCTATGGTTGAACAAAATCCAAGCGGCAGTAATGACATTAACTGGTCATTTTCGTTGTTACAACCTATCAAATTTCGTCCATGCATACGCACTGGTCCAGATCAGGCGTTTCAACCAATAGGAAGGCTGATGTTTGTTTACAATTTAGATTATTTGATGTCATTTACTGCCGCTTGGATTTGGAAATGGTATAGAACTTAATTTGTCACGTCGTTTATAAGTCTATGATAAAAGTTTTGGACAATAAACCAACAAAAGTGTTTAAAGAAAGTTGCTATTTATTTTCCCATAATGCTCCGATTAATGTTTCAGAACGGACTCTCAACGATTACCTAATGCCTGTTTTACCCTATAGCGCAGATACCAAATCTTCAATAGAAAAGCTAAAAGAAACTTGCAAAATTGAGACATAGGGCATTGAGAAACGCAGACATCCGAAGAGCTAAAGTAGAATATGAACACATTTTTGGGAACGAAATGGCGATGGGCTGAACTTATTGGAAGGTTAAATACATAGTGGTTGGATACCGAGAACCGACAGATGAAATAGAGGAAGGCCATCCACATCATGGACGGTTTAAAACGAATCACAGCAAACTGGTTTGCTACTGCTCAAGCCTGGAAAAGCGAGCTAATGATAACTTAAGTGAAACAAAAAGAACTAATTTTTAAACAATTTAATAATAGCCTACACAAATTGTTTTAATAACTCAAAACAAATTAATATTAAATTCTAATAAAGAATAAATAAAAAGCTTCCACGAAGGATAAAAGAGAAGCTCCTATGAACAAACCGGCTGCTCCTCCGATCGAAACTGAAACAAAACAAAAAAATCTTGGAACCAGTTTAAACAAAGTTGAAAAATGTACCTGCCAAATCCAAGGGAGTCTTGACCAGTACCCTTCTAAATCTGGAAGTTGGCAAGGATTGCATGTTGTAAGATATACCGCTAGCTGACTGGTTAGTACTGCAAAAAGTAACAGGGTAGTGTAAACGTAAACTAGGGCCATATTAGGACCCAATTCGCCAAATAACAATGTACGGTATTTCATAATTGATGCCGATATGATATTTTAACAATGCGTTGACAGTTTTTTGACAAATGCAATGACTAGCATAGGTACTAAAGGCTGAAATACATAAGGGCGTTTTTCTTTCTGCAACTGAACGTCACTCAAGGAACTCTCGTCTTGTTTCGAGGATCTCCTTGTACGAGACGAGACAATTATTTTATGGCGTACCTTCGAGAAGAGACAGCCATATTCTCTACTTGCGGTGCATTGCTAAAATATCAGTTAACTGAGTTTCTGCCTAGTGCTAACTCCATGTTTGATGCATCATAGCAGAATCTTGAAAGTCCTTTCTCAACACTTAGAAAAGTCCCAGGAGAAAATTCTTTGCTGGTTTTTTTTTAGCTGTTACAGTGGAAAATGTTTTAGAGGTAGCAATGTTATTTTGCTTCTACAGAAAAGACCACTTTGCTGAAACTACTTTATTGAAACTGCAAAGATATTTCTTATTCCAAAACCAAACTTTGCTGTTATAGCAAAATTAAAACTTTATGAAAATATTTCTGCTTCTCCGAAATAGAACTTTTCTAAGATAGATAGGTACTTTACTGTTGCAGCAAAAAAAAAATTCCTGTAATTTTTGTTATTGTTACAGTAATGTTTTTTGCTACCCTAGCCAAATAACTTAACTAAAAATACCGTTCGGACATTTCCGTGATTTCTTCGGGTCCAAAAATAACCGATACAATATGTTTCGTGTTCATTTTCTTCCATTTTAGTTTAGTAGCTAACGCCGTACGGTGTGGATCGTGGATGCTGTCGAGTCAAGTCGAGTGTCGGTCGCTGGGAATCTTTTTGGAAATGGTGCCAGCGCATCCATCAAAACTAGCAGAAACAACTCTAGCGCCAAACTTTTCATTAATTGGCATTATTTCAGATCAGGTAATGAAAGTTTAGGGGTTTAAATAGAGTTTGTTTATCTCCTGGTTTTGTTATGATGGACGCGCTACTACATATTTCCAAAGATTTCCAGCAACATATTTTTGCTATTGGTGAGACAAATAACTTCCCATAGCTAATAAAACACTTGGGTGATTCTGGCAAGAAATTTTTTGTTCTGAGACAAACGCTTTCCTATTTGAGGAAGCATTTCTAATAACAACAACAAATATCTTTTCTGTCTTAGCAATCTACTTTTCAATAGCAAAAAAGGATATTTTTGAGGGTATATAACCTCTTTTCTAGGACAGCATAGTTACTTTCTACGACAGCAAAGTAGCTTTTCTATAGTAATAAAGATCTTGGCTGTCCCCTATGTAGCCAAAATTTTTGGCTACGGCAGCAGAAAAATTAGCTATGACAATGAAAAAATTTTCTCAGCGAAGAACTATTCACACGTAGCTGATGTCATAAGACAGTTTTACTCATTTATTAGTTAGACTTTTAGTTAGTTATTTTGAAAATGAATCGATTTTCATCGCTTCGAACAAAGTCAGGGACGTTTGTGTTAGAGATTCAACTTTACTAATAGCAATTTGGCAGAAAACTGAATAGCGAATACTTTTGGCCAATCGCAGTTTCTTTAATGTCTACCGGAATTTGCCGCTGAAATTCGTCCTGCTCCAGGGAAGCGGCCTAGGAAATTTAATAATAAAAGAAGAAGCGGTATATATATCGTGCGTCTGTTGTGTGGAAAAGGTATAGTTGGGTGTACAGGGAATGAAGATATGTGTTTATGTATGAGACCAACCAACTCAAGGATAAAAAGTCAAGGCAATGTTATTAAGATATTATATTTTTTAAATAAGGGTTTGCAGTGTTGCACTGGAGAAGCACCAGCGATGAAGTGCACTGCTCGCTTGTGTAGTTTATGGTATTGGCTGAAACAGCCTCAAAAAGGTAGTCCACTTTAAGCTCACACCCCGAAAGTCATAGACTACTAACTTCCTCAGCAATAGTCTGTGACTCACATAGTTAAAGGCCTTTGAGAAGTGACAGAACACCCGCCCGGTAGAAAAGTCATTGCTGTAGTGCTTAAAAAGTTGTTCTACCACGCCAAACATGGCATCATTGGTACCCTTCTCAGAAAGGAATTCAAATTTAGCGGAGTTAAAAACTTTATGTTTTGATAGGAAGTCCATAATACGTTTTCTACAACTTTGGATATTACTGACCGCAATGATATAAGCCAATAATTTGATGGTTCTTTTATGTATCGGTACTACCAATGCGTCCTTGAGACTCGGTGGGAAAGTGCAGCTTAACTCCTTTGTATGATTATCATCTATTTATTAATGCTTACGTTTTCTTATGTGAAATAATATTGTATTCAGGCTCAGTGCACGAGGGTAGGCATTCGCATATGTTTCTTAACTCTTCAGTGTCTCTCAGGAGTCTCAGGCGGTTGAAAATTTCTAAAACGGAAACGTATTTTTTCAATATTTATTCAGTGATATATTTTAGCTACCTACTCACCAAAATTGTCGGTCAGGCACTTTAGGCCATCGATATCGCAGTAACCTTGTTTGCCTAAAACAAACTGAAATTAATCGAAATTGTTAATTATTCCTAAATTAACTTAGATACTGTAATAAGGCATAAAATGATGAGTGCAATTGCACATTTTCAAATGATATTTCGCATGGCATTGAACCATACATGTAGAGTAACTGTAGAGCTTGTGGACTTTTAAATAATGTGGAACTTCTTTGGGAAATCTGCATTCTCTTTTTTTAATTGGGACGTTTACGATGGTTTGATCATTTTCAATTTCCATTACCTAAAAACGTCTTATTGAAATTCAGAAATTGACAATTACCGTATTTTTGAAGGAGTAGGTAAGCTCTCTTACATTAAAGACTACTTCGTCTACATCACCAACTGCAACAACTTTCTTCTGATCAGCATCCGAATTCATGAATGGAACATCTTCTGGTGCATGAAAATAAGCCTACAATAAAAGTGAAATTTAATTCTACTTTTCTGACCAGACAGAAACAATCTACTCAGAGGGCAAAATACAAAATATGAAAAATATTAAGTCAAAGGTAGGTATAATTCTTACTCTAACATCTTCTAGTGTTTCTATAAACAATTTCCCAGCGGCATTTTTTCTATTCATTTTCCAGTTCAATTTTGAGTCAATGGGCTTTCTAAAATTGTTGCTAAATAATTTTAAAGCATCTAGTGAAATATAGGAGTGCTTACATTGTATGCAAGGAGTTTATTGAGTAACAAGTTCCAAATTCAGTTTCTAATGGCATAAACTCGTCGCAGCAGTTAAAATCGATATCGTTCCACTTACAAGTACCTAAAATTTCTTTACACGGTTTTCTTAACTGAAAATGATGTTTTTTTTTTTTTATAGAATACCAATAATATAGCCACCTACTTTCAAAACAGTTTTTGAAATATTTACTTTAGGACACGAATAGCATTTCAGTGTAGATTCACATGAATAACAGTTTCCTGAAAAAAATAGTATGTCATCTATGAAAAATTCAAGAGTTGCAGAGCTGTCTCGCTCATCATAGGGCCTATAAAAATAATAAACATAAACTTTTTTACAAAAATATACGATTTTCTTCTTACGCTTCCAGCAATGAAGAATTTTTTCCATTAATTTGGCAAACAGTCACTGAAGGAAAAGTTGTATTCCAATCCAAATAAGTAGTTTCGGTTAGAAAACTGATTGAGTTGTCTTTATAGTTTTCCACCAAACTTATAAAAGTTGTCACCATTTTGGCGTAGTAGATACCAAAAGTGATTGCCCATAACACCCTGATAAAAGAACTTGTTTTAAATGAATGGACAATTTAATAAAAATGTCGACCTCAATAAGATGTGACTGTCCCGATTTCCTAGCAATCTCAAACCGTGTATGTGTGTAGTTTTACAATAATAATCAAATTTGTAGACAAGATTTGTCCAGAATTTTTTTAGTTTAGTCTTATACATTTTGCCTGGAAACTGATTAGTGAATGATGTGCCTAAATATTTTTCCAACAATAATGTTCAGCTAACTAGAAATGGACAACAAAATAGCTTTATGAGATCTGTATTTCCATTATCAATAATTGTGCTCTATTGTTAATTTTACTTGTCACATAATGGAAGATTACAGGATAAAAGATGGTAATGTGTTGATAAGATAAATGGAGTGTAATAATAGGGTAGGTAGGTAGGTAGGTACTTGCACAGTTTTGAATTATATTTTTTCTACAAGCGTGCGTTTTTGGCCACTTTCCCGCACGCATTTTAATTCAAAAACAAAAAAACTATTTCTTTCCCGCACGGCGTACGGGAAAAAAAAATTCCCGCACGGCGTACCTGAAACACCTGTGTAGAATTTACTAAAAGCAATGACAAACTCACCTGCTTAAGTCGCGCGTGGTTATAGGGTTGCTATAGTCATCTGCTTTAAAATAAATAAAAATATTTTAGATTTTCATTTAAAAAATATAGAACCTAACTCTTGCGGAAAGTATAACTTTCCGCACTTTTTAGGATAATAACTATTTTTATGAATTCTGTGTGCGCATTGGTTTTTGAATTTATTGGATTATTATTTCAAAAATGAAAATAATCTATCGACTGTCAAAATCTGATAAAATCGTCTGCCTCCAAAAATTCACTATTTCTCAATTTTTTCCGTCTCATTTTTTGCCTATACCTGGCTCTCGAGTTTTTGTTTTCTTGTAAATTTCACTGAATAGAGAGAATTCAATAGCTTGGAATAGAAACCAAATTCTTTGTGTCTACTTGTCTACTAAGAATACTCAAGAGCCTGGAATAGAAAAAACATTAATTTCCATCAATTCCATCTATCTAAGAATTTTGTTTTAATTTCTCTCATCTCAATTTCCATTTCTTGAGCTTTCCGTTTTCTTGTAAATTTCTCTAAATTGAGAAAGTTCAAGAGTTGGGCGTAGAAATAAGATATTTTGAGTCTTTTTCTCTACCAGTTTTTTCTCATTTTCTCTCGAATTTCTTTTCTCTGTTTCTCAATTTCTTCAGTTCAATTTTCATCTATTCCCGGCTCTTGAAATTGTCGAAATAAAGAAAATTCAAGAGCCTGGAATATATAAAAAAAACATTAATTTCCACTTATCTACCAATTTTTTTCTTATATTTCTTCTCTCTATTTCTCAGTTTTTCTATGTCAATGTTTGTCTATTCCCATCTCTTGAGTTTCCGTTTTCTTGTAAATTTCTCTATAGGTAGGCACCTATACTCAGAGAAAATTCAAGGGGTTGGACTAGAAATGGGATAGGTATATTGAGTCTATTTGCCTATCGTTTTCCCAATTTCTCTCGAATTTCTTCTCTATTTGTCAATTTTTCTAGCTCAATTTTTGTCTATTCCTAGCTCTTTTATTAATTTTTCAAAATAAAGAAATTTCAAAAGCGAATGGAAAAAAAAAACTGATTGTCGTCTTTTCACTAGCTCCAACATTTCTTTTTGAATAAGTGATGCCGCCAGACGAGACGAGACGCTTTCTCTCTTCTTGTTTTGAAAGGTTCGAGAGAAAATAAGTCTCTCGTCTCGACAAAAGAACCTCGATACGAACCTCATCGCTTTCTCTCGTCAGTTTTCACGCATATAGCAGTAGGTATAGGATATAGGTTAATTTGTATTCATGCTCCTTAATTAAAATCAAAGATAATCCCTATTCCGGAGTTAGGATTATCTTTGCTAAAATGTATAAAAATGTCGAGACGAGACAAGAATCTCTCGTCTCGGCGAGATCACTATTTTGAATGGTTTTGAAATATATCCAAAAAAAATAAATAAAAATCTCTGTGTCTGAAAAATTATTTATGATAAATTTTATTACGTTTTTTTTTTTTTATTTATAAAGTACAACTTTACCTAGGAATAAAACAACGCCAGTATGTACCATCGTCACCAAAAGTAACTGGGACAGCATCATATTTAGCTCTTGTACTATTACCTATATGATTTTAGATGTCAGGTATTTGTGAAACTATGGATAATTTTAAGTTTATCTAGGTTAACTTGAAATAGTCCAGGAGATTTATATGAATTATTTTTGTCCCAGTTACTTTTGGTGACGATGGTACCTATAGGTACTGAGTTCTGATGTAAACCAATCAAAACCGTTTCTGAAAATTTAAAATGTTGGTGATTCTCAATTTTAAATTCTTTCGAAAATAATCATTAATAGAGCTTTTAAATACTCCTTCTCACGGAAATATGATGAAGATGCTTGAATAAAAATTTTGCGCAAATAAAATACCCTATTTTTGTACAATGGCAAATGCGCGGAAAAGCATTCGATAATTTTAAATTGGCGCCATCTCGTGAGAGTACTGAGAATTGAAGGAAGAAAATCGAATTTACAAGTTCTTGACGGTCGATAGGGCGATTTGTGTTTGACGTACAAGATGGCGCCGCGGCATAATTTATTTTTGGCGTAAAGACTACAGAGACATGAGTATGAACTGTGACTGGGCGTACGGCACGAACAGTGATGTAAACATGGTAGGCAACCCTAACTGCACATTAGGGGCAGAAATCCGCGTCCACTTGTTATACGTTAGTGTTAGATACCTGTAATATTATAACATGGACCATGAGTGACATGAACATTCACAATTATTTTAAGGAGCTTGGTGATCATATATTGGACCAAGATCCTATTAATAATCATTTACTTCAACTGATCAACGCAATTTTACGTGTTTATTTTCTCGTTAGAATCCATTATCAGAATAAGGAAGCAAGTAGAATCACTGATAGAGTTAGGCAAATGTATAAAAAACTTGTATTTTTAAGAACCAGTAGAATTAAAATCAGTTTTGCATCTAACTCCTAAATTTAGGTTTACATTAAGTATTTGTACCTTACAATCTAGTATTTTGTGCCTTTGAATTTGCCCAAGATTTGTTTAGGAATAACAAGTTTTATCTAACGTTTAAGAGTGTTGTTTTATTTTTTTGCCTCACAGGTCTACACAAAACACATACATTTAAGCACGTCTGGTATTTAGTTTTTGATGATACACTATGGATAACTAATTATATGTCACCTTTAAATGAAATTATGTGTTATTTCTCGTTGTGGGTAATGCGCTTGTGTAGCTTCTTGCCCACAATGCGAAAGACTGGTTGCCTAACTATCCTTCCATCACTGCCGTGTACGGCAACTATACGGAACACGCAGTCCATTTCATACTCATGTCTCTGAAAGACTAGGGTTTGCACTCGGTGTGACGCCCAGGGTGATTTCGAACGCACTCTTGGTATAGATAGTCTCGTGTGTTTTTTTTTCTCTAATCTCTGTACTCTAGAAAATAAATAGTTTTTCTGCGATTGACAAGAAATGGCAGCATTTTTAACCGGTTGACAGGTCGCAAAACTCAATATTCTGGTGTTTTAATTATATTTTAATAGTTGCTAAGGAATCAATGAATAACAATACGAGAATCACTTTTACGGCCTAGGTCGGGAAAGTGATTCTCGTATTGCTGAATAATTGAAACAAAAAGACAAACATTTAACCGATCGCAGAAAAAATAGTATGTGCATTTCGGTGGAAAAGCACATTCTCGGCCTTCGGTGTTTGCCGGCCTCGGCTACGCCTCACCCGTCAACTTACACCGTCGGCCGAGAATGTCTCACTTTACACAATATACCTACTGTTTTGTAAATACAAGCTCGATGACAAAAACACATCACATGACCCAAAATATTTATCTTAAATCACATGATCAAAATTGTCTAATTTGATTGGCTACTGGCGCTACTGCACGAACGACAAAAACTGGAGTTAAAAGTTTGCCAAGGTGGAACGTGTATGGGTGGAACGGTGCTGTTCCCAAGAGAAACGACGAAACGGGAACGGTGGATATGAATGCATACACTGATTGATTTCGCTTTTTTGTGAAGTTGGAACGGAAACGGCAGCGACGAACGGTGACGGGAATGGTG